TCCGGAAGTTGAACAGTTAATAAGTTACATATTGAGGCTTCTGTAGGGAATGCATAGAAAGCAAATAGAAGGCCAGTTTACTACTAGCAAGTTACATATTATATTTTTAGGTTGTCTTTGTAGCAGGTACCTGTTAGTAGTAGTAGATGCTTACCTTGGCTAGTTTCTATTACACAATTACTGTTGCTGTTGTTTCAACATAATTCCAGTTTTTGTTTTTTCGTTTTTACCTAAACTTGGGCGTCTCACCTGTGTGATTACATTTTTTAAGAGGAAATAATCCACCCGAGGTAAGTATCCGGATAGTAAATTATCTTAGGATTGGGCCATAAAAAAAACGGATGGACGAGCACTCACCAATTATATAGAGCTGAGCGTTGTGAGGTAGACGAGCATGTGCACTACAAACCACATCCAAAGCTCCTTCAAGAACTAATTTTCGATAAGTAGCTTCCAGTTCGTGCTTCTCACTTCGCTAATTGATCTCCAACAGGCAAGACCATGCGTTGTCGCTATGTTGCGCTCGCACTAGCTATAGTATTCTTCGCTAGCTCAAATGCAACCGAAAATTCGAAGAGGGTCACTGCTGATATCCCTGCTGCCGTTCTGTCCATCTCTGCGGACGAGAAGCACTACAGGCTCTTGAGGGCCGAAAGCACCGCGGATGCGAACGACGAAGCGAGAGGATTCAGTCTCAAGTCAATTCCTGGTCTCTCGAAACTCACAAGTATGTTCAAGACAAAGATCACGCCTGGTACACTCCTAAACTGGGCCAACAAGGAGAAGTCGCCGGACTACGTGTTCCTAAAGTTAAAGCTTGACAAGACAGGGCATCAACTTTTTGACAACCCGGATATCAACGTTTGGGCTGCTTATACGAATGCCGTAGTGAAATCGAATGCCGACGACGCGATGCTCACGACATTGAGGGCTCGCTACAGCGACGATGCTCTAGCCAAGATGTTCGAAACGGGCAAAAAGGTAACACATAGCGAAAGCGTCGCCACTAAACTACAAAGTCGGCAAATGGAAAACTGGATGGCCGCTAAGAAGACGCCAGATGATGTGTTTAAGATTCTTTTTCTTGACAAGGCTGGTGTAGGAGTCCTCGACAGCTCGGTCCTTGCAGGTTGGACCACCTACATGAGGTTCTTCAACTCCAAACAGGAGAATAGGAAGAATCGAGTCACGTTGATCAGTACACTTACGACACACTACAAAGATCGAGGGGTTCTGGACATTATCGAAGCGGCCAAGAAAGTACCCAGCACGGCTAGGACTGCGAAACTATTGGAAGCGAATCAGATTCAGTTTTGGCTGAAGAACGAAAGAACACCAGACGAGCTGCTCACGTTGCTGTCCCTCGACAAGGCCGGAGACCAGCTTCTAGCTAGTCCACTTTTTCAGACTTGGTCCAAGTACATTAACTACTATAATAAGGAGTACCCCGGCGAGGCTACAACTGTGATGAAGAAACTGACGTATCATCTTGGCGGGGAAGAAGTTATAGGGATACTTGCAGCAGCGCGGAAGGTACCAAGTACAGAAAAGGCTGCCGCGAAATTACAAGCCGAACAATCCAAGATCTGGCTCAGTGCAGACAAAGACCCGGAAGAACTTTTCAAGTTGTTACAACTCGACAAGACAGGGGATGATCTCCTAGACAATCCACAGTTTAAGTATTGGGGGAAGTACGTGGAGGATTTCAATTTGAAC